TTTGTAGGTGATGGGTGGTTTTCGATTCCCGCACTTCTACAGGGTGGCCGATGTCCGCCTAAGCGGAACAGTATCGCGCTTCCGATTTTGCGCCACGTTCCCATTGAAACGATGGTGATGTCAGACCCTGTGTCTAGTTGCAGGCGAACCGTTCACAGGTACAGACTTCCTGCACTTCGTTGCACTACAGGCATTCACCGTCCCACCTTCGCAGCGGCGTTTCCTTTTCGTCGATCGAACCTCCTGAACTTCGCTTTCCCAGCACTGTGGCAGTATCCCTCCTTATGTCCGACCGTACCACAATCACCTACATTTGTGGTTCTTACACGAACAATCCCTGGCATAGTTATTAGCACCACAGAGCCAACAAGCTGATTTGGGCCCACTCGCGTTGCTTCTGGAATCAAAGCCGTCTTTCGAGCCCTGCTTGGGCTGACGTGCTGGGAACATTCCAGGATGCTGTCTGGATTTTAGCGCTTTCACACAGCCAGTCTGATCCTCGATCATTGCTGCGTCGTGCCTCAAATTCAGCAAGCGCTTGCACTCCTCCGACAATTGCTCCAACGTCACATCACACTTTTCTTCGATACGCGTCAAAAGCCTGGTTCGAACTTCCGCATCCCAGACATTTAAACTGTTCTTCCGACAGCTTCGTAAGTTCGAACTCCACGCACGACTTGTTTAACCGGCAAGCGTACGTGACATAGTCCTCTCCAGGCTGCTTCGAGATCTGTAGGCAGCGATACCTGCGGCCAGGCATGGAAAATCATTTACATTCATTTGCCTCTAACTTTTTTCATCAACAGCATTCCACAAAATGATGTATAGAGCTTTTGTAGGTTTTGTTATTAGCTACAACTTTTGCCCAAAACTCAAATCTGTATCTCTTATGCATCACTAACTAAAGTGGGCAGAACTTGTTACTGTTTTTCAGTGATTGTAAAATACATTCACTAAAAAACAGTAGTGGCTTCTGTTCGCTCTGGTTCGTCATGCATAAGAGATACGGATTTGAGCTGTTAACAAAAGTTGTAGTTAATAACAAAACCTGCGAAATTCTGTTGTTGAAAAAAGTTAGGATCAAATGAATGTGAATGAATGCACGAAATGAATGCAAATGATTTTCCATGCCTGCTTGCGGCTAATGACTGTCTCGGATGCCCCGAACAACGAGGTTAGCTTCGACACCGTCTCCTCAAATGAAAAAGCTTTCGGTATTTTAGGTAAAATAAAGTTTACATACCTCTCGTGTTCGGACATTCCTAGCTTACGAATCAGCAAGCGTACTTTCGCCTCCTTGTCAAGACGGCTGGCATCCTTCTCAAACAAATCTTCGTACCGCTTGTACCAAGCAGCGAACGTCACGCTGCCATCCGGATCTAGGTGGAACTCCTCCTCCGGATTCGGTGGCAACTGCACCTGGATCGACGTCATGATGTTGCGCATGAGCTGCTCCTGTTGCTCCAGTTGAAGGCCAACTGCTGCTGTTGCATAGCTTCCTGCTGTCTCTGCATAACCTCTTGCTGTTGGCGGAACATTTCCGTGATGTGGCGGTGGCCGTTGTCCGCCTAAGCGGAACAGTATCGCGGGATACAACAAAACGGTGATATTGGAACCGGAATGTTGAAACGTGTGTTAACGTAATAAAAGTAAACAAGAACTGGTCCAACTTTATTCATTTATCTGGTGACAACTATTTTTGTGTTTGCGTGTGTCGATGCGCATGATGACATCGCAGGGTGGCAGTCGAAGCTGCCACGTACGAGTATAGTCGCTATATTCATAGTCTGGCGGATAGAATCTCGGGAACCAATTGAGCTGTCAAATAGCGGAACCAATCGATCAAATCACGACCAACAACAGAAAAGAGCACATCAGCTATTGCGAACAAAACTTCGGAAACCCTTTTCTCGTGACTCAAGGCTCGCCTACGCAAACTAACACCATCTTTGGGTTGAGGAAAGTTTCCCCTATCCGATGATGCTAGTAATTTGCGTTCGATTGGCGAGGACAGAATAATCAACGTTTTGTTTATAAAAGTTGATAGTGCTTTTTCAATTGTTGGTTTAAAATATATTGAATTGGTTCCGCTTTTTGATAGATCAAAATTCTATCCGCCAGACTATGAATATAGCGACTATACGTACGAGCCCAGCGGTGTACGAAGTAGTAGGGGTACTTCGCTAGGTAGTTGTCTCCAACAGGTGGTGTTGGTGGATTGTATTCAAACCTTTCCTTGGCATATTGTTATACATAAAATACGAGGGGGACGACTTTATCTACGATACAGAAAAGATTGTGTTTTGCTGTGGCTAGCTGCGCGCACGCTGAGTAGATAGAAAGAAGATTGATGACGATTCTGAAGATTTCCTGCAAAAAGATGATGCGCAATGCAAGTAGATGCGAGCAATGAAAGAAGATTTTTCGAAGATTGATTCGCTAGTGTGAGATTTGTTGAGCATCTAGACTTGAGATTTTATGTGTCGCCCCCCTCGATAAAATACGAAAAACTAATCGCGACAATCTCCAAATCTCAGACAGACAGACACACCACTGGTTACACCCTAAATGTGGCCACTTACACAATCGACTACATCCAACCAGACGATTGATCCTCGTAAGGCAGACCGTATATGATCGGTACTGCTACACCAAACGTGACAGGGATGCTTACTAAGGGTTCACTTAGGCTGATTTAGTGAGATTGATCTTTTTTCTACTTTCATATATGGGAATTTACGTATTCTCGGCAACCTAAGCATCGACCTTCTTTCTATAGCCTTTTTCGCACACATATGCAGTATTGGTTTGTTTACAATCTTTTGCTGCCAGCTGCTCTAACAATTTCAGTCGAAAGAATTGTCAAAAACTGTTTTGAAACGCTCTTACAAAGCTCCAAACTTCTCTAGTGAGAGCGAGTATTGTCGGCAACCAGTTTTTCTTCGGCAACCGTTCCATTTGAACTGCATGTAAATCTGCTGTTCTATTATCGGCAACTCGAAATCAGCTACAATTTGTAGTGCGTGCAAGGAATCAAAAATATCTCCAAATGACAAAATAACAAGCGATCAACGAACCGAATAATAACGCTATGTCAGAAGTGGAAAACAATAATGATATAATCTTCACCGTTCTTTTTCATGACAAGCAGCTCGTGCGACCCAACTCATTCGGGGCGGTAGAAGGAAACGAGCAAATTGTTGGCAAGCTGCTTCACGAAGTAAAGCCGAAGATGATACACGTGTGTTAATGGGAATTTTTTTGTTATGTCTTTTCCCGATTCATATCAAGCTATGTCCTCGTCCGTGTATATTGCAACAAAGCAGGCAAGCAATATATCATTATCCTTCTACCACTCGGATCGAGCTTTGTTACAGAGCGAGTTTGTCATGGTAGTCGTAGCAACCGTTTTATCTGTATCGTTGGTTGCTTTATGTGTTTGGATTCGCTGAGTGCGTGTGTTTCATTTCAAGAAAACCCTACTAGATTGCTTTTTCTCAGTAGTAAAAATATAGTCAAATTGAAGCTGAAAGCATAAAGAATCGTTTGCATGCATTCAGCGAAATGTTTTCGAAAGAAAATCCAGTGAAAATAGTGTTTCAATTTGGGTTGCCGAAAATAGTCTGTCATGCCGAAGCCGTCATTTCCCCTATTTGAGCATCATTTCCATGAATCCTTATGTAAGAAATTTTGATTCGGGTGAGACTCTTCCTTTCGAATCGTTTACATTATACCGTGCCGATTCAAATTTCGGACGCTTAAACTCGAATTTCGGACACTTTTAAAAGTTGATTATCTCGGTCGAATATGATCCACATGTCTTGTAAATTTTAATTTTTTTTGACTAGTGCCCTCCACGATCATCTAACATTATTACTTTGTTTCTAACTGGATGTAATATTTAATTAAAAATGAAAGTGTCCGAAATTTGAATCGTCCGAAATTTGAATCGGAACGGTATTTGAATCAGTATTCCTAAAAACTTTACCAAAGGTCCCAAAATTTTAATTGAAGAGCTCGATTAGCTTGGTTGCTACCGCTTTTGTTTACTGAGTAGAGGATCGTGGGTTTACTCCCCGGCTCCTCCAAAATAAAACAATTATTATGGTCGCATTGCCTGCTTAAGCAAATCCTGACATATCTACTACACAATTATCCAATTCGTTAGCATCTATGGGGGCGTCGGTGAGTCGCTGAGCTCCAGTTAAATAGATATTACATCAACGATGTCCTTCCTTTCCCCGTAGCGGAGAAGATGGGCGTGGCTGGCAATGGTAATTGTCTTGCTTTTCCTGTTCTGAACTGTGATTGGAGCGCTATTCACTCTCAAATAGGTTTCCTTAAGCAATCAGAATAAGAACGTTAAAGTAGATACATTACGTTAAAGTAGATACATGACAGTTACCAGTATGCTATTTACGAATTACTCAGTTAAAACGTAACGTAACATCTGTCGTCTATTATGACCCGCAATCGCATTACATGGGTCCTTATATTCGCTGCTATATAAGCCTTAAATTCCTGTGTTACATTCAAATAAGAGCAAGAAAAGGTCTGAACATTAATGCTCACTTGTGTAGATTTTTATCCAACTGTCGCGAAAAAAGCAGGTGTTATCTCATGAAACAATTCAACCAAACAAGAATTGTAAAATGAGACATTGTTGAACTCTGTTACTTTTCTAAACCCTGAGAATCAAATTAAGTTTTATTCTTCATCAACAGCGTACCTAGGCTCTTGCCGTTTAAATCGCGCAATTAACCCCACTCGCAAGTCATCGGCAATAAAAACTGGCTGATAATGCGCAAATGACATAATTTTCCCCGTTCCAGTAAATTACAATCAACAACTCTAAACGAGCCCCTATCGACTTAACTACCTCCTCGCATGTCGGTAAAATGAGATAATTCATATCATGTCATACAGGCCACCATTATATACACACTTTATTATTCTCCACTAACACTAAGTGCAGCAAATCAACAACAACAACAGATTGCTTTTATTTTTCACAGCTTCTTTACCGGATTGTTTTTATTGCGGGGCTGACAGTGGATCATGACCTTGATCGCACCTTCCAGCCCATAGCGAGCCGTTTTGAATGCATCGACCGAATCGTTCAGATTGAAATGGTGCGTTATCAAGCGGGTTGCGTCGATCGTTCCATTGGCCACCATGGCAAGTGCTGGCGGGTAGGCATTGGCATACCGGAATCCGGATCGTATTTCGATCTCCCGAACCAGTGCGATCGTGATAGGGAGGTTCATGTTGGTCGACCCGATGCCAACCAACGTGACGACTCCGCCGATTTCCGTGGCCAAGATAGCCATACGAACGCACGGCTCTGCACCGGTACATTCGATCGAGATATCCGGAACACATCCCATGAGACCGTGAATCTTCTTGACAAGCACATCTTCCTTATCGCCCTTCTGGATCTGCAGGGTGTAGTCCGCACCAATTTCCTTGGCAATGTCCAGCTTGCTTTGGACTAGATCGACAACGCAGACTTTACCGGCACCCATGGCTTTCGCTACCAGTACCGTTACCATCCCGATCGGGCCAGCACCGAGAATCAAAACATTAGAACCCAATTGAATGTCTGCGATGCGACAACTATGGACCCCAACGGCTAACGGTTCCAGCAGAGCACCTTCTTCCATGGTCACATTCGGCGGTAGCTTGAAGCAACAATCCTCCGGGTGGGTGTAGTAGTTTTGGAGCGTTCCATGGATCGGAGGAGTGGCACTGTAGATTCCATCCGGGCAGAGGTTGTACCGCCCGGCTTTGCATAATTTACACACCTTACAACCGATGGCCGGTTCTAACGCGACGCGATCACCGATCTTGAGACGCTTGACTCCCTTACCGACGCCGATCACCACTCCGGACGACTCGTGTCCAATGACCATGGGTTTCTTCAGCACGTACTCGCCAAAGCCTCCATGAGTCAGTACGTGAACATCCGTTCCGCAGATTCCAACGCAGTCCATCTCCACAAGGACCTCATTGTCACGCGGTGTTGGAATCGGGACTTGCTCCTGGAAAGAGAAATTGCTCCTTTAGAGTGACCTTACACACCATACAGAGATCTTACCATTCGCATATCCTCAACGCCATGGATCACCGCTCCAATGTTGGTTTTCGTCGCCATTATTTTGGTACAGGGTGTTTTCAAAATACTTCCTCTCACGGGGCCCGATCAAGTGAGAATGATTCTGTTCGAAGGGCTATTTACCGACTATATACAGAATGCAAGCCGGCGTCGTAATGCAGGCATTGATTGACATGGAAAGAGATACATTGCCGCCGGCATCATCTTTGTTGTACGAGCAGGCATGCAAACAAACACGTGATCGCATCGCGATCGGTAGGAACGCCTGATGGTTTCAATTTTCGCAAATAATCGCCCTCTCTGTGTGATTTACCCGACATGCATGCGATCATTGCATTTGATCATCAGCGAGTGCGAATAGCAAATGGAAATCGTAGTTTGAAGATTGTCAAATTGAATTAAATTGATAAGATTTCTTAATATAGACAGTATGTTGATGGATTTTTTTTTTTTCAAAGTGCTAGTCCAGCCAACAATAAACAACGGGAGCTAATCTCTCAGCAAACAAAACTAGAACTAGCTTTCTCATTGTAACTCAAAACCATTCCACAGAAGATGACACAATGATAACGAAATACAAAACAAGTAAACAACTGCAACAACAGAAATGTCCCTATCGACACCCTTATGGCTCCGCTTCGTAAAGTACCCGCAAAAGGTCATCCTGCGCAAAGTTTATCTCCGGGATGATCCCACCACTAACACAGTGGTCCAGAAGGGCGAATTTCAGGAAACAAAAATAAAAAGTGCATGACGATGAAGTTCAAGGTGGTGTCTTGAAAGAAGGCACATGTAATGAAGGGATCGTCCATAAATCATACTCCTTGGGATGTCCCTTTTTTGACTACAAAATTGTTTCGTTAAACTTTGCTCAAGACGCATACAGTGGGGGAAATTCGTTTAAACGCAATGTCATTTTTGCGTTTATTTTCAACACAAAAGATCGAGACAAAAAATCAAATATAGTTTGTCATAGCCCATCAGAAGTCTCGTATTTGAGAACACAATTTGATTGGAAGTTCATAATGACTTTTGAAAAAATCCCAAAAAAGGTGATTTTGGGGGGGAAATTCGTTTAAACGCACTTTTAGTTTTATTAATCAAATCGAGTTCACAGTTCAAAAATCAACAATAAACAATAGTTAATACTTCGTTTGCTTTCCGTTTTTCTGAATAGTTTCGAAAATTCTGTTCGGCATTGATTTCACCAGCTTCTGCAGAGTTGTATCAGGTATCAAGCTCCAGGCTTCTCTTACGGCTGACTCAAGTTCACGAACTGTTTTAAACTGCCTTCCGCCTTTGTAAACCTGTCGTGCCAGGATGCCCCACAAGTTCTCGATAGGATTTAGATCCGGACTACGAGCTGGCCAATCCAAAAGACTGATGTCTCGTTCAGAAAACCATTTCAAAGATTGCTTGCTGACATGAATTGCTGCATTATCCTGTTGAAATACGAAATTTTCCGGCATAACGTCTTCAGTAAACGGGATCAAAACATCTTCCAGAAGCTCCAAGTACTTTCCCGAATTCATCCTGGTTGAAATGGTGGCAATAGGGGTCTTTCCATGGATCGAAAAAGCGGCCCAACACATTAGAGTACCACCTCCAAAGTTCCTGCTCAACTTAACCTGCGGAGATTTCCTCAAATCGTGCCAATAATATGCGGTGCAGTCTGGGCCGTCCAAATTGAATTTCTTCTCGTCAGAAAAAATAACATTGTCCCATTCCGTAGTCCAAGACATGTATTTTTTAGCGAAATTCAATCTGGCGCTAATGTGGGCCGGTTGAAGATTGGGTTTTTTGCTTTTTTGGTGTACTTTAAGTGGCCACTTCCATGTAGAATCTGCCGTACACGCCTCTTAGAAATGGAAAGCCCCATTTCTTGCTTGATTTGCGCAGCAGAGAAGTTTCCAGAGTCTCCCATTTGTATGATTTGGTTTCGGACACGGTTGGTGATCTTCGAATTTCCCTTTGTTTTCTTTTTTACGCCATACGTCTTGCCTTTTTTCAGCAGGTTCCTGATTGCTGCTTCCGATCTGTGGATCACACGTGCAATTTTGCGATTGCTCTCACCGCGACTTTTGAGTTCTTGAACCAGTATTTGCTCCGACTGGCTTAAATACTTTCCTTTACCCATTTTGCCGAAAACAAGCAACAACTACCGCGCAACGCAAATTTAAACTCGTGTTAATGGCGAACGAGGGCTATACAGTGTAAATATGACAGATGCGCAAGATAACAGGAGCATAGGTACGCTCAATGCGGCTTTACGTTAGTGTGCGTTTAAACGAATTTCCCCTCTAAAATCACCTTTATTGGATTTTTTCAGAGACCACAATGAACTTCCGTTCAAATTGTGTTCTCAAATACGAGACTTCTGATGGGCTATGACAAACTATATTTGATTTTTTGTCTCGATCTTTTGTGTTGAAAATAAACGCAAAAATGACATTGCGTTTAAACGAATTTCCCCCACTGTATTTGCTAGCGTGTCATTTGCATTCTTTATGGAAGCCCCCTTAAAATCGTTTTTTCCAAGGCATACTATGTCCAGGAAAGTTGTTTTTAATTTCACAAAAACACACAATTTTCTAGAAGACACGCTTTTACAAGATTTGAGGAGTCAGTATTGTTATACTGGATTTTTGAATTGCTAAAAAAGTCGGTAAAATTTCAAATCACCGTTTTCCGTGAGGAAGTAATGAAATGTACAAGTTAAGGTTAAATTTTCGAATAACTATACTGAAAATTTCAATATTTGATTAAGTACTACGCAGTAATTAACAATGTGCCCTTCCACTATTTTTGTGATTAAAATTATGTAGAATCATCACGGTAGTAGTCTTTGAAAATATTTGCTCCGTTTTGAAATTTGGCTTATGTTTACTAGATAGCGTACTAGAAGACAGCATTCTACAAAGTTGTGTGTAAATAGTATGCCTTGGAAATCAAACAAAAAATTTAAAGCCACAAAATCGATTTTAAGGGGGCTTCCATAAAGCATGCTGCATATCTCAATTTCTGTCTTGAGCATAGTTTATGAAAATGATGAGTTCTTCAATTTTGTAGAACATTTCAATATCGAAAACTGTCAGTCAAAAAAAGTTAGTATTTTCAAGTGGCATCCCAAGGAGTATAATTTATGGACGACCCCTTCATCAGATGTGCCTTCTTCCAACTAAAAGCTTCTCTCAAGAAACCAAATTGATTAAACTTCATCTTCAAGCACTTTTTATTACTTTCCTGAAATTCGCCCTTCTGGACCACTGTGCACTGATTTTCCTCGGCCTTTTCTATATAAACTCACAAACGCAAGAAGTCCCGGTTGTCAATCATTCACCCACTGTTAGCGATGGCACCTAATCAGAATTTTGCTGCCGTAGTGCACGGCCCAAACGATCTTCGCCTGGAGCAACGTCCCATACCGGAGCCGGCCTTCAACGAGGTGGTCGTCGAGGTGGATTGCTGTGGAATCTGTGGAACCGATATCCACTTCCTGAAGGAAGGTGGCTTCGGTGCCCAGATGCTGATCAAACCCATCGTACTGGGACACGAATCGTCCGGAGTGGTACGGAAAGTGGGCAGCAAGGTGACTCACTTGGCGATAGGTGATCGCGTTGCGATCGAGCCAGCCGCTGGATGTCGCACTTGTGATCTGTGCAAGGTCGGCAAGTACAATGTCTGTCTGGATGGTAAACACTGTACCACGCAGAAACACGACGGAAACTGTTCGAACTACTACGCACAATATGCGGACTGTTGCTACAAGTTGCCGGATCACGTCACGATGGAGGAAGGCGCCATGCTGGAACCTCTGTCGGTGGCAGTCTACGCCACTCGTCGTGTCGACGTTAGTTTAGGCAGCAGAGTGATCATATTCGGAGCAGGTCCGATCGGGCAAATGTGCTTGATCGCGGCCAAAGCGATGGGTGCTACGAGGACTGTGGTCCTAGATTTGGCTAGGGTCAAACATCGACTGGATCTAGCGAAGAAGCTAGGAGCTACGGGTGTGATCGCGATCACCAAAGATGATAAGGAGGATGATCTAGTGAAAAGAATTCAACAGCTTCTAGGAGGCCCAGCTGATCGAGTTCTGGAATGCACCGGTTCCCAGCCGGGAATTCGAATCTCGATCAAAGCCACCAGGAACGCTGGCAAGATCTGCCTCGTTGGGCTTGGTAACGACGACGTTAAATTGCCCATGGTGGATGCCATCTCGCGGGAAATCGATATCATAACGGCCATGCGGTTCAACCATGAGTAAGCACCTGATCGAAGAGAATTTCAAATTATATACTGACTTTTGGATGTCGTTTTACAGCTTTCCGGCTGCTCTGGAGATTGTAGCGAGCGGGTATGTAGACATCAAACCACTTGCCTCACATCACTTTGAGCTGAAGGACGTCCACGAGGCGTTCCGTGTTGCCAGTCAAGGCGAAGGGAACAAGGTACTGATCCATCTCGTTCCGCGAGATACCAACAATAGGAAGAAGTTTGTAAATTAAGATTTATTCAATAAAGACCCATTGGATCGGCATTTCCTAGTGCTTGGAAGCAGTGAATCTTTTCTGAAGTCCAAAATTAGCATTAAAAACATGGTTAATTTAGCAATAGAACATTGTGTGTGTGCCAATGAGAAGCAGGCTTGTTATTTCCTCACAAATTGAGCGCAAAGAGCAAACCATTCCTGATCCCGTTTTTCCCGGCATTTTAGAATTTTTCCCGGTTGTGCGATAAACATTTATGATAAACAAAAAAACGAATTCAAATGAGTCGAAAGAGTCACTAGGTAACTTGAATCTTTTGTTTTTCCTTGATTTGTTTTCCGTGCTGAGCACCAATGCTACCGACGCCAGGGAGGCAGCTCCCACACCTGCACCCTTCCTACCGACCCATCAGCTCATGAACCGGGGACCAACGACTGTACTTCCCTTCCGAAGGAAGATTAATTGAATCTTGAATTGAATTACTGATTCAATATTTCTCTGTTTTAAATGCAGTACTTGTTCGCTAACGGAGCTAAAAGCGCAGCCCAGTTAGCGAATTCTACTCGCAAACGAGACTGACTTGTCAAACGTCAAAAAACACTGAGGGGAGCTTCAATGGATTGTTTGATCAAACCTAATTAAAATTCATGTGCATTAAATTGATACAGTTTCATTCATTCCTTTATTTAACGTCGGTCTCTGTTCCGCAATCTAGTGCCAATCACCGACAAACATCGATTGCCATCCATTAACGGCAATCGAATGTGCAGGAAGGCAGCTTCCACACCTGCGTAGGATATCGCACCCATTCACAACACATATGGGCCGGGACCAACGGCTTTACTTCCCTTCCGAAGGAAGACGTGACCAGAGATTTTTATGCCTCAGAAAAATCCCACCGACCTCGGCTGGGATTGAACCCAGACCCATTGGGGTGTGAGAAAGCAGTCACGCTTACCACTACACCACCGGCGCGGGCAAATTGATACAGTGTAAAGTTTGTCATTGTTATTTTCACAGCATTCAATCTAGCTAGTCTAGAAGGGCTTAATGCTTTTGCTCATAACGCTTTTAAGTCGTGAATTCAGTGTGAAATGAAAATAATTTCAAATTTATTTACAATAACATTTAATATTCCATTCGAATGCCCCTCACCAATTATGACAAACTACATGTGATGTCTATTTTTGACGTATAACCAACAATCAATGCGAAACTAACGATTTTAAATTGGCTCACTACTTGACTAGCCTATTGGTCCCAAGCAAATGATTAACGTACCCCATTCTAGTCGAAGTTCTAGTACTACGCAATGTTTGTTTTGATTCGCTATGAAAGTTTGACAGATAAAATGAGGGGTTATTGGATTTTCCTATGTTTCGAGGGGTGAATCGATTAGCTTGGGACCGAAGAGAGTACCAGAGCTGAGCCAAAAAGTTGAGCACGTTATTTCGGGACCTTCTTGTCTTATAGCGAATTCGTTTATTATCGGGGTTGGAACCAGTTCCAACCCGTGCGAACCCGAACTTTTTGTCAGTGCGAACCTCGACCCGTGCCAGGTTTCAAAAACAAACGATCAAACTGACTTTTGCTAGAAAACAAGCAGACCCAATCTTGATACCCGATCCAGGTTGGAACTGAATAATAAACGAATTCGCTATTAGAGTTACCTCTATGGTATAACTACTTTTAAACTGGGCTACAGCCCAGTTAACGAACGCCCAGTAAAAAAGCAGCCCAGTCAGCGAACCTTGATAATTTGCTCAGAACTCTTTACAGGAACATCTTTACAGGAACATTCACTCATGTGAGCATGTGCAATGTGTTGTTTGTTTGATTTGCTCTCTATCGTTGCGTCCGTGTTTGGGATTTTTCGTTACATGTCTGAATTTTGATTTTTTCAATGTGACCCCCAATATAAAAATTAAAGACGTAGTCCCACGTCAAAAAAGAAGCTCCTAACGTGCTTTGAATTCGGGACTGCTTCGCCCGTCCTTCGAAAAGGATGATGATCCTCTTATACTCAGTGGCGGGGATTTCGATGATAAAGTGGCCAACATGGCCTCAAATATCATCCTGACAAGTCCAGCAGTTTCATTTCAAATGACGATTTTTTTTTTAAATTTTTTGATCGACCTTCTACGATTATGTTGAAACTTTGCACAGTTGTTTGTTATTGTTCAACATGCCATTTTACATATTTGGTTCCCTAGTTCTGTACACGACTAACACTTGAAAAGGGCTTATGCAAAAATGAGACGCATCAATAGAAAAACATATATCTTGCGAACGATTTGTTTGATTGAGATGGTGTCTTCGAAGAAGTTGCGGACAAGTATTGTGCCTTTTAAGAAAAAGTATACACTGTAAAAAATTATATTTTTTTTTTCAAAAAAAAATCAAAATTATCAAAACGGAGAACTCCAGTAACCTCCCTTAGCTCAGTCGGTAAAGGCACAGCTACAAAGCAAGACCATGCTGGAGGTGGCTGGGTTCGATTCCCGGTCCGGTCTAGGAATTTTTCGGGTTGGACAATTGCTCGACTTCCCTGGGCATAGAGTATGATTGTACTTACCACCAGGCATGGAAAATCATTTGCATTCATTTCGTGCATTAATTTACATTCATTTGCCTCTAAATTTTTTATTCAACAGCATTCCGCAAAATGATGTATAGAGCTTTTGTAGGTTTAGTTATTAGCTGAAAAACAGTAACAAGTTCTGCCCGCTATAGTTCGTGATGCATAATAGATACAGATTTGAGTTATGAGCAAAAGTTGTAGCTAATAACATAACCTACAAAAGCTCTATACATTATTCTGCAGAATTTGGTTGGTGAAAAAGTTAGAGGCAAATGAATGTAAATGAATGTATGAAATGAATGCAAATGATTGTCCATGCCTGCTTACCACACAATTAAACTAATGCAAAAATGGTACAGGCATCGAAAGCTCTGTAGAAGTGCATCTAGAACACTAAGTTGAGAGCACGCAATAAGCTAATATGCCATACGCAATAAGCTTGAAATGCGAGGAAGAAGAAGAAGAAGGAGAACTACAGGGAATTTTAAGATAAATGTAGGCGCCTAACATGAAAACGTAGTCCTGTGTTTTTTTCACTTTCACTTGGTGGTAAGCAGCAACAGAAAAGCAGCCGCCACTTACAGCGCAGCAGAAGCAGACGACACCACCGGCAGGAAGCAGCACAGCCAGCTAGCTGGCATCCCTATCTTGTTTGCCTTGCCTTGAAAAGAGCTAACATCGCTGCGGACCCGCAAATTGCGGGCCCCACTGACAGCTCATAATTTGTAAACAAATAGAAGATTCAAGCCAGAATTTCAAAAAAGGCGTGACTGATATTATGGATATTCTTAATATTTTTGCTTACATTTTGTGAAAAATAAACTTAGGACTCATAAAATATTATTTTCTGATTTTCTTCCACGAAGTCAACCATTTATATGGCATAAAAGGGAAAATAATTTCATTTGATAAAAATAAGACAATTCAGTCACGCCATTTTTGTAGTTCACACTGGAATTGTGACGTTTCAGATGTTGGTTTCAATAACATGGCGGCATGCCAGCCAGCTGAGCACAGCAGATTCTCAGGTACACTGAGGCAAATAGACCTAAGAATTTCATAAGGCTCGACTTACGAACAACACATATGAATTTCATAGGCTTGACTTATGAATGATTTTCGAGTAACATGAGGTAGCTTTTATACACCTTTAACCATTTCATTTTCCCAATCGTTGAAAGACGAGTGGTCAACACACGGGCCTCCTAACCTCAACGTCCATTTGTCCGGTTCCAGTCTGCTCCGATTTATTATTTTTTGTGAATCTTATTTTTCATAAGGAAAATCAATGAAATTCACACTCATTTCTTATGGCTAAAATTCATAAGTGTTTCTAATATGGAGTTCTTACGTTCTTTTGCACTTTACTTCTTCTTCTTCTTTTACAGGCCGAACAGCAAACTCACAAAATGCGATAAGTAAAAAATAACTTCATTGGAGAACAACTTTCACAATTTCACAAACTTGCACTTTATTGGACTTCACTGCTGGGGTGTTCAAACAAATCTAATCTTGGTTGGTTCGGTTACGATATTGGTTTTGGCTCACACACAATCAGCTGTCTAACCACGGTTGCCATTGGCGTTGTTGACGGCGACTCTGTAGCTCTTTACTCCTATGAGAAAATCCATAAGCAAACGTCGGACTGTGCGTGAAACATGGCGGACTTTGTACTTTGTACTTTGTACTTTGTACTATCCTTTCACTCCACCGAAACTGTCTATAGAGATTGCTAAAGTATGATTGTGTAAGTGATTTGTTTTCATCGGGAAAATTTTCCGCTATGAAGTTTTTTTTCCCGATGAAAACATTTTGCGTATACGTATACGTGACGCACACTACGTACGACAAACGTCAGCAATCTCTATATTTGCTGGAAGCCGTCAACACTAAAGAGCCTGAATTTAGAAAAACTCTAGACCAACAATTGAAATAGGCGGAACAACCAAACGTTAACAATGGCTTTAAACGCAAATTCCTCGAGAATCAAAACACTCCCACGCAAACCAACCATGTTATTCAATAAAGGAAGTTTGCTCTATCAGATGGTGGTGTTAGATTGCTTCGATGTGTTTTGATTGTCGAGAAATTTGCTTTTAAAGCCATTGTTTACGTTCGGTTGTTCCGCCTATTCCAATTGTTGGTCTAGAACTAGTCTACATTGGCGTCTGCTACCGCACCAGCCGATCGCGGGGGGAAGGAAATCGTATTCAGTGTGGCCAGAACCAACAACAAATTTTAGATAATTTCAGAGCTCATTAAAAGTGAGTTATGATGAAAGTTTAACGGGAGTTTTTTGTGTGATTACCAAACTTAATGATGATATGAGTAGAATTCCCATGGAGTTCTGAGATGAACTCAAAAGGAAATCTAAGAATAATTCTGATGTTTTCAAATTTATAAAGGCATACCAAGGCAAATTTGAGGCATATTTGAAGAGTATTTCAAAGGAA